TAGCACCGTGCTTCATGCCTCCTTAAACATGCACATATTCATCATTTAAACATTATTCAGTTTGACATTGATTTTTGGGAACGAGCAAACATTTCGAAACTATTTGATTGGAGGCATCCGTTCATTTAAAAACACAGTGCAGTATTTTTGTTTTTTTGCCATATTTGAGTGGTTATCAGCAAGTGTAGACGACATAGAACAAGATGGTGAAATGGTAATATGGTGAAATTAGTCAAACCACCTACTTTGGGAATTAGCACCTTAGCAGTGACAAAGAAAGAGTGAGAAATGGCTCAGAAAGGTCAACAGTATGCATATTTTCTCAGATTCATCGAACACTTGAAATGGAAGAGGAGAGAAAACAAGAGGCCAAGTAGTATGTAGGCGGCATTGAGCCCTTATATAAAAACAACTGTGTTACATTAGCTAGTCATAACTATCACCATGGTTGGTGATGACCTTCTTAGGTCTAGCGAGAATCTGTTAAACAGCTGAAAGTGCAACGTTGACAAAAGAAAAACAAGATGTTAATGAAAGTAAAGAAAGTAGAGCTGCAACAGTAAATATATAACAACATAAACTTCACCCTTCCTGGCTACCTTAAGTCGTTGTCTTCACTTCTTTCACTGCTGCAGCTGCTTAATCAACCTTGTTTTTCATCAACTTTACTTTTCAACTCCTCTCATATGGCACCTCCTCTCACCTTTTGTAGAAACTGAGTCAGGACAGCACCGCTGACCGTGTTGTACTTCAGTCTGGATAGAGTTGTTTCTCAACCCATATTCACCACTGTTCACCACATTCACTATTTCTGACCTAATCAATGGCATTGATCTCTGATGTATGCTGTGAGGGAGTCCTGCTGACTTTCCAGAACACTGCAATGCCATTAAATATACATTACTGCATAAAAATCCTATGTTCACTAAAGTGTTCCTGAGAGAATTTTAATCAAATAAGTTATGGATAGATTTAAAAAACGAAAGGATACATAATTGCGAATCCCACATATTCACTTACTCGATCAATGACAGTTCATTTAATCTGCTTCACACTTTGGACACAAGAAAGGACAAGTGACTCCATACAGCTCCTGGAAATAATAGGAAAGCACCTTATTTGCACGTTGTCCAGCCCACTGATTAAGAGTTACTACAGTACCACACAGTACCCCAGTAGGTGAGCTCCATTTTCTCCTTAATCATATGTTGTTAAGTGTGTATTTTTACCCATATTCATCTTCTTCTAATCAAATAGTTTTGGTGCCTAATCAAAATTAAGCAGTTTGTGATTAAAAAAAAGTTAGATACCTGAACTCGCCTGTCATTCCAGGTGTCAATCCAAACATCGTTGTTGGGAAAAGAGGCTTTCCTGCCAGCAGAAAACAAAAGACAAAAGACAGAATTAAGTGTAATTAAAGGCACTTTATGTACTACTGACACCTCAATCATCTGCTCCACATACGCAGTACGTCTTGAAGTTCCTCTAGTTACTCATAGGTGTGCAGCTCATATCTGTTTATTCAAAACAGCAATCATCTCCCTGAGCTGAGTAAAGCTATTTGCTTCAGCTGGCAGCTTATCTTGAGTATATGTGATAGCAGTCAACCTCTGTCCCAGGATGTTAGCTTCAGACAGCAGCAGCTACACAACATGAGTAAAATAACCCTCATCTTCACAGTCTGCAGAGTTGTGAAAACTGGGGGAATTTGCAAAACGTGTTTATAGAATTACACAACCGTGTGAAAGGTTTTGCAAGGTTTCCATGTTGTTTGCGCTACGCTCAAGATCCATTTTGGATATATCCAGAGTCAAGTATTGACGTACTAATATAAGAGGTGTTCATGTGTAAGGACTATGAAAAAATAATGACATGGCTGCTTTGTAAACACAGTACTTTATCTTTTAACAAACACTGGAAATACTCGAAAAACTGAATGTGACAGCACAGCTCACGATATTATCTTTGTGCTGTATTAATGGGTTTTTTCCTTTTTATAAAATCCAGAGCTGTAGCAACATTCACATTCATTCATATGCATGCAAGTCTATACACATGCTTGACTTTTGTGTGAGGGGAAACATGTGGAAACACTATTTGTCCAGTTGATTGTATTCAACCCTCAGGACAGCAAAATCCCATTGCAGTTCAGAGCTGGAGGGGTGTTTGTCCACCTGCGTGTGCTTGTGTAGGTATGTCGACTCCTGTGGGAAAGGCAAGGGTCATTAAAGTGATGCAGTGAAGGTTGCGATGCAAGGTTGATCTGCCTCCACCCACCTAGACAAAATGCGTCCACTATATTTGTGTGTTGCTGTACATACAGTACATACATTCTCTATTTTTTGTGTTAGTTTTCCTTTTCTCAGGTACAATATGGTGTCCAGTCTTTTTTTATGTGTTGTGGCACTAAGCTGGAGGAGTGTCCCAGGGCGGCATGTGTGAAGCAGAGGTCAGAAGTTATTCAGGAAAGCACGCAAAGCAGTACGCCAGCACTCATGTTGCACACCGAAGCTTATTTATTTACAAAGATCACCAAATCATCCTGTTTTTCGTGTTTCTCGTTTATCTGTATGTACATGAATGTGTAATCTCAATATGCCTGCGTGTTAATGTTTCATCAAACCATTGCAACGATTTGATGTGTCACTGAGTGTAAAGCTTAACTACAGTGTGTGTGTCTTCTGGGTGGCGTTACTGTGGCCAGAACAGGCGAAAGCATTAACCTTTAACCATGACAGTGTAACCCAGAGGATCTCTCTGTCATTCAAGGAAATGTCACAGTCAAAAGAAGCCTCCTAAGAGCTCCCCTTGGAGACGTATACACTCTTAGTGTTTTATGCCACAGCCTGAGCTGTAGTCTATCTTCACAAAACAAATATTTAAGTAAAATATAAATGTTGAGTGTTTTTAATATGCAAAAGTGTTTGGAAAAGTATAAAACCGTTTTCAGCTTCATCCGCTGCTACATCGTTGTATTAAAACTGCTCTTGTAGCTCTGAGCGTGTCTTATAAATTGGCGTACGAATACTGCTGTGTAATTTGTTATCAGCTTCTGTCCCACGCGCCCTGTGCTCCCTTCTTGTCACAAGATATGAGCTTCCTATCGTCTTTGTTCAGCCGTAACAAAAAAATAATTTGATTGTTGCAGGTGATTTAAAATGTAGGCGACTCAGGGTTCATGCAGCTTCTATGGCTGTGATCATATTCTTGCTTTAAACTTTACCTCGTCTCTGTCTAATTATGGTGCAAAGAGGAAAACAAGTAGACATCCAGTCTTTGAGCTTTTGATTTATTAGTAATTATTTTAAAAGCTGCTGTCAAACTTTATATTCTGTGTCTGTGTGAGTGGGTGTTGGACTTCCTCACTGGCAGAACTCAGGTGGTGAGGGTGGGCAGGTGCTTCTCCAACAGCATCACCATCAACACAGGAGCACCTCAGGGATGTGTCCTCTCGCCACTGCTCTACTCCCTCTACACTTCAGACTGTGTGGCCACCCATGGCTCCAACACCATTGTGAAGTTTGCTGACGACACAGTGGTGTTGGGTGCCATCTCCAACAACGATGAGGCGGCCTACATGGATGAAGTGAAGAATCTGGCATCGTGGTGCCAGAACAACCACCTCCAGCTGAACGTCAGCAAGACCAAGGAGCTGGTGGTGGACTTCAGAAGGGGTCAGCACAGAGACTACAAGCACATCATCATCAATGGAGCTCCAGTGGAGAGGGTGCAGTCCTTCAAGTATCTTGGTGTCCACATCTCCTCAGACCTGACATGGGCTGCCCACATTCAGGTCCAGACCAAAAAGGCTAGGCAGCGCCTGTATCACCTACGACAACTGAGAAAGTTCAGGGTCTCTCCAAAGATCCTCAGGATTTTCTATACAGGCGCTGTGGAGAGCATCCTCACACAGAACATGACATCGTGGTTTGGGAACAGCTGTGTGAAGGACCAAAAAGCTCTCCAGAGAGTGATCCGTACAGCAGAACGCTGCTGCAGGATTGCTCTCCCCAGTGTATATACTATATGTCTGTATATATATATATATAATGTTCTTCCTCTACACCCCCCCCCCAATTTTTGCACATGTCGATGAGCGTGTCAGGCTACATTTCACTGTGTGTTATACTTGTATAACTATGCATGTGACAAATAAAGAACCTTGAACCTTGAACCTATATGTATGTAGGTAGAATTTTAACTGGAATTCAGTTTGTCCTTTTTCTTTACTGCCCAGCATCTCATCAAGGATATTCTGAAAGTGCCTTTTGTGAAAAATATGTAAAAATGTAGATGTGAATTTGAGTCATTTTATATAGCAACTAAGCTGCTAATACACATTCATGCAGCTTGTATTGTAGGGACACGGATCTGCAGAAGAATAATTTTCTAATAATTACATCATCTTTATTTACATTGTTGCTGACATGTTCACAGATAATACTTATATGGTGTATAGGTTAAGGGCACAGACAAAATATCAAGTTAAATTTCTAGTTCATAAAGTGTGTACTGGAATATTTAGAGAATATTTAATAGGCTGCTGCAATGCTGTGATCTAGGTTATCATGCTTAATGATATTTTTCTTACTCTCAAACGTAATTTTTTTTTTACAAAAATAAATATTTTACCAAGATGGACGAACTTACATACCTCATCTTCTTAAAGTATAGCTGAAAATATTAGGCTGTAGAGCCTTTTATTACAGATTGTGATCAAAAATGTGGATTCAAAGTTAAGAGTATTTATAAAATTCTTCCAGCAGAAAGAATCAAATGTTATAAAAATGTGAAATTCTATCTGATAAATTTTAAACTGTGACTGAGTGACAAGGTTGAGGTTTAGTATAGAGTAAACTTCAGGGTTACAAATCTTATCCGTGCAGTTGAAAAACAGCAGGTCAGTGTTTGTCTTTGGTCTATTTTTTTTTTTTTTAAACAGAGACTTCATGTTTAAATTAAACTGAGCTAAATTTTTTGCTATTGTTTTTCCTCCACAGATCATAGCATATCAGCCATACGGTCGCTCTGTAGACTGGTGGGCATATGGAGTTCTGCTCTATGAAATGCTTGCAGGACAGGTAAGTGGTACAAACCCACATACACCTCCACAATGGAACTTTGCTGTCTACAGAAAATGCTAACACCTTCACACAGAAACAAGGTTTCTCACAGATTGCTCACACCTACATTTTTCCCACATATCTTAGAAGCAGCACGGCTCTGCTGGTGCCTAAATGAATTCAGATGGTGATGCTTAGTAAAGATCTCAACGCCAGATCATCATAAACACGTGGTATATTAATATAGACACCTTTTAATGTATTAGGTTTAGTTTTAGAGTCATATATAAATCTCTTTACGCAGTCACAATATTATGGCTTACCGTCCTTTTGTGAACAATAACTCAAATCCTAATAACATAAAACATCACATTTTTAGAGTGAAAAAGTATTTTGACATAATTCTACTCTTAAACAACACTGGTTGGTTCAAGTCTTCTTATGGTGAGCTTGTTTGTTTTACAGTACTACTGTTCTTGTTTATTTATGGATGCAGCATGGTGTGCTGCGAGGAGACATGAGTCAATATTCTTCAGGTGAACACATCAATAACATGTTGGCTGGTACAGAAGTACTTCTTTTAGAATAAGTACAAGTCAAGAGAAGGTGGACATGAAGCTTTCTGAGGAGGTTTTCATGTACTGCATCTGGAGTTACTAGTTAAGACTTTCTCTTTCCTTCAAATTATAATTTGTGTGCAAGCTAGGCCAGTAAAATTTTCTAACTTGACCCAACTTTTTTGACCCCTGATGTGTTTGGGAAGCTTAATTATCTACTGTTATGCTAATATAGCATCAGTCTGAAAATGATAATGGTCCACACGTTGGTTAAATTGTTTTAACTTAATACACTGTTTATGAATATATATAACAATTCACAGTGTGATAGTCATCAACGAATCAGTACAAAAATGACTTTAAATCACTTTAAGACATTATTGAGTCAAAGTGAAGCATCTTTAAAAAGGCCCAGAGTAAATGCAAAAGCATAATTGTATTGTTTACGTTAATCTAATTAGCTCAGAGAGCAAGTGGCTGTTAAACAATTAACAAAGACTTTATTCAGACGTTCCCTTCCTCTGTCCCTGCCTTGTGTGAAATTGGGTAAAGGGGGCATGACGCAGACAGGCTACCTCTAGTCGAAGAGGCCAGCGGAGTGGAAATGACGAATAATTCATTTTATGGACTGTCAAAACACCCACATTATGGTTACTGATGATAACAACTCAGTGAGCAGGGGAAGAGAGCTGGGTCATCCACTCCATTTTTCCCTGCAAGGTCTTCCTATGAAACTTATTCTCCACTAATAATATTTTTTCATATCTTTATTGTTCTTGTTGTCTTTATTTGTACGTAGCTCTGTTCAGTTGAACTGTTTTTTTCTGCTCTCTTTTTATTCATAAGAGAAAACTGTTGAGTTTACTTGTCTATAAAAGAAAGTACAAACCGCAAATGTTTAGAGAGCAGCAACCATTTATTTATATGTTGTATGTCCTAACACACTTAGTGTTGTCTTTTTTGACTCACAGCCTCCATTTGATGGTGAAGATGAGGATGAGTTGTTCCAGTCCATTATGGAGCACAATGTGTCCTACCCCAAGTCGATGTCCAAAGAAGCTGTCTCTATCTGCAAAGGGGTGGGTGAACTTGACAATGAAACATGATTTGCCATTCATCAGTTTTTGTGGTTTTAGCAGAAAGTCAGAAATATGTCAGTTGAGTTAAGTTTTATTTATATAGTGCCAATGTACAAGGCACTTTATATTGCAAGGAAAAGACCCTACAATAGTAGAAAGAAACCCACAGCATATGGATGACCCCCTGGGCGACAACACTTGCTAAGAGTGGGGAAAAAAACTCTCTTGTAAAGGAACAAAATGACCAGTTTGGGTAAGAGGGAAAGGACAGCTGAGGATATATGAGTCCGTTTGGTACTAAAGAAAAAAACCACAACTGTCGTTGTTTTTTAATTTTTGCTTTTAAACACATTCATAAAAACTCATTCAACTAAACATTCAATGTGAGACACGTTTATTCTCCTGTTTGGAACCGTTTCTTCTGAGAAGCTTTCACACTTTCCCTGACGAAGCTCTGCATCCTTCACTCTTCACTGAGGCTAACATAAATGAACCTCCTGGAAGAGGGCTAAAAGCTCTTACTGCTACTTCAGGTTTTGAAGAGCATTATTCGTCACTGAGCATGAGAAGTAAAGCTTAATTTTGCAGGAAGAATGAAACGTGGTCTCTTTTAAATACTGTCCAGGAACTCATCTAAAAGTCCCTTTCTTCTTCCCACTCAGTCCCCACGTCTATGGCCTATATATTATTAAAATACTGAAGAGGAATTCTAGTGGATCATTCAATATACTCATCACAAGTCAGACTGTATCACCAGGCTCATGTGCACTTGTTCCACTGGGTATGACTGTATGGAAAAAGTGTAATGTCAGACTGAATTCCCTCTTGAGCTGGTTCGTCTGTGGTGTAAATTATTCAGGGGTCCAATTTTGAAAAACAGTGAATGTTTCTAATTTACAGCCAAGGTTATCATGCATCAGGAAGCATGCTTACACACTAACACTAAAGGGTGCAGTGCCAAGAAAATGTAATAATCCCTCCCTGATTTCTTAACTTTTGCATATTTGTCACGCTCACATATTTCAGATCATCAGACACATTTTAATATTAGAATGATATTTGTGTGTGGGGAGGATTCTGTGGAGCTGGATTTGTGGAAAGGTTGGAGTCCTGTTATGTCTGACATGAAACTAACACAGTGTTTTATAAAAAGAACGTCATACCAAGAGTCAAACATGGTGGTGGTAGTGTAATGGTCTGGGATGCTTTGCTGCTTTAGGACGATTTACTGTAACTGATGGAACCATGAATTCTGCTCTCTAGCAGAAAATCCTGAAGGAGAATGTCTGTCCATCAGTTCATGGACTTAAATCAGATTGCGATGCTTTGGCATCTCCTTAAACAGGGTGTTCATGCTTGAAAAACCTCCAGTGTGGTTGAATTACAACAATTCTGCATAGAAGAGTTTGCAAAAATGTCTCCACAGTGAGATGAAAGACTCATTTCCAGTTATTGCAAACCTTTATTTGCTGTTTCAGCTCCCAAGGGTTCCAAAACCAGTTATTAGGTTTAGCAGGGAATTACTTTTTATACCGGGACATGTAGGTTTGGATAGATTTTCTTTATCTCTCCCCTAAATTAAATCATCATTTAAAAACTGTCTTTTGTACTTACTCAGGTTACCTCTGTCTAATAAATAAAATATGAATGATGATCTGGTACATATAAGGGTGACAAATATGCAACAAACTAAGAAATCAGTAAGGGGGCACAGAATATAGACTCTAGAGAGACTTTTCCTCTTTTTCTGTCAGCCTGCCATAAATACTGAGCTGTGTAATTTCAGACCAATTTTTCTACAAGTACATTTGTTAGGATGTTTTTCTTTTGTATTAGGAGTGTTTCACATTTCTCTACATCTCTGGTCCGCATATTTCACAATAATGTTACTAGGAAATGTAACTTGAGACAATGTACAGTGTTAGTATTTTAATGGAGACGTCTAACATGTGGAGCAGAGTTTAGTATTTGTTGTGTTGGCTCATTACTGGCCTTGTAGGTCACTGACCTCACAGAATGCACTAACCAGGACTGTTAGCAAGTCTGTTTCAGCAGTTATTGGTAAATAGCTTCTGGATTCCACAGAGGGGAAGTAAGTGGTACATAGGGTCAGTGCAAGTCAAGCAAGAAAAAATAGTGTGTGCCTAATTTTATTTTAGCACAAGAATGTTTGACAGCAATGACATCATAAAAAGAGTTTCTAGGACACTGAATTAAATGAAAACACAGTGAAAATC